ATTGGAGAGAATGCCTGTGCAAGTTTCTCACAAGCTTGACCGTCGAATTATACTGGAATGGGTTGAGGGTATTGATGATTTGACGCTACAGACCGCTCAAGAATTACAAAGCCACGATCCTAGTCAAATGCTGTGCGGCAATGACACATAAGAGGCGATCAGGCAAATATGGGGGCAGGTACTCCAACTGCCCATCGAACGAGTATCTCTGGATACATCATTTTTCCGGCTCGGCGGAGACTCCATTTACGCCATCCAAGTGATGCAGAGATGTCAAACTCGCGGGCTTGCCGTTACTACTCAGGATGTGCTGGCAAGCCCGACTATAAAGCAGCTCGCAGCTATTGCTGTTCTTTGTCAAAGCAGCCACTCCGCCGCAGCACTGTCATCAGTCACAGCCGTGGAGGACAACGGGACCGGGCGAGACATCACTGCAGTGGACATTTCTCAGCTTCCACTATACCAGGAGAATGTGCAATATGTTGGGCCTTGTTCAACTTTCTAGGAACGTTAGGAACGTATTTACAGAGCGTTCCACGAGAGATCACACAAGCCTTATGTCTTCGACACACTAATCGAGCTCACGGAGCCGCCGACAGACCCGAGCCAGCTCATTGAGACCTGAAACCAAGTGGTACAGCGACATGGAATCTTGCGGTCAATATTCGTCTCTGCGCCAGGCTTTGAACGGATTTTACAGGTGATGCTGGACCAATATCATGCTGATGTTGCTGTTGTTCCAGTCACATCGGAGCAGGATGCCCGCGAACAATGTGACCGCAACCTGGACACAGTGCGTTCACGCATGTTCGCTGACAACTCACCGCCCCACTCTCTCATGGTCTATCACAGCCCTCAGAAGACGTTCATCCATCTGATCATCAACCACATATTGATTGACCACGTTAGCTTCGCGCACATACTCTCAGACTGGCGGTGTTTCTACCATGAAGACAGCCCTCGCTCGGCAGATCGATCCCGAGCTTTGACGGGTTAATTTCACACACATATGCCAAGCGTAACAAGATCGGTAGCAACCTTTTCTGGACGGAAGCTTTGCACGGAGCTGGCGCGTGTCTCATTGTCCCATGTAAAGTTCCTCAGACCCCAGAAATGACATCTACACCTTGGAGAATGGGGTCAGTCAGGTTCATCGTGGAGATGACGCCACAACTGGAAGCCTTTTGCCAAACCGAAGGGATTACCTTGTCAAACTTTCTGCAACTCTCATGGGCATTGCTGCTTCACTTGCAAACAGGCAATCTTGACATTTTGTTTGGGCACCAGGTCTCAGACCGTGACGTGCACATTCCAGACGCCGAGGCTGTGGTGGGACCCATGCTCTCAGCGATTATAGATCGCGTCCAGTTGCAGCATTCGCGGAGTCTGCTAGCTTCGCTGCGGGAGCTGCAAGATAACAACATACGCACAGTGGGCCACAAGACGTACGATATGGCACACGTCGAGAGGCATCTGGGAGCTCCACCAGGTCAACTGTTCGATACTATGGTGAACATTCGCAAGGTCAAGTACCATGGGGATAGTTCCCAAGACGTTCAAGCGTACCGTTTAATATCGAAGAGAGATAGTAGTCGTGAAAGATGTGAAATTCTCCCTAGGGTACACCTCGGACCGGTCATGGCTGAGTCATTGTTGACTGGCCGCTCTACATGCTGCATAAAGGCACCCCAAGTTAGAACTTTAAGTCTTAATTTGGACGTCATAATAGGCTTCAGCTATATTATATATTTTATTTAACTATATATCTATTTATTTCTTATCTTCTTAACTTTTAAACTAATTATTAATTTATACTTTAAATATAAAGTTAATAATTTACTTTATAAAACTCTTTCTTTTATTATATTCCTTATATATTATATAAAAATAAATAAATTTTTAATAATAAAGTAATATATTTAAAAGAGAGAATTTTAATTCTTAAATATTTAAATTTTATTTTCTTTATATAATATTTATTTAATATATAATAAATAAACTTTATTTAACTTTTATAAAATTTATATAAAAGCTTTTAAATAAATTTACTATTATAATATTATTATTTTATTAATTATATATTTAAGATAAAATGATATTATTTTATTTAATAAAATAAATTTAAATAGTTATGTAATAAGTATATTAATAAAAGAATTAACTTATTAAGTTTTATATTATAGAATTCTTTTATTAAAGTTATTTTAAAATTATTTTAATTTTATTATATAATTATTTTATTAATTATTAATTATTAAGTTATTTATATTAATAATTCTAATATAATATTATTAAGAATAATATTTTTAATTTTATTTATATAATATAAAGTTTAATTATATATTTATATATTATATTTTCTTTTATTATTATTAATACGTTTTATTTTTAATTTCTATATATATATATAATAGATAATACCTTTATATAATAATAAATACTTAAGATTTAATATTTAAAAATATAGTATTAATAATAATAAAAGAGAATATAATATATAAATATATAGTTAAACTTTAAATTATATAAATAAAATTAAAAATATTATTTCTAATAGTTATATTAAAATTATTAATATAAATAGTTTAAAAGTTAATAATTAATAAAATAGATATATAATAAAATTAAAATAATTTTAAAATAACTTTAATAAAAAAGAATTATATAATATAAGATTTAATAAACTAACTCTTTCTTATTAATATATTTAATAGTTACTTAAATCTACCTTTATTAAATAACTTAATATAGTTTCTATTTTAAGTATAGAGTTAATAAAATAATAATAATATAATAATAAATTTATTTAAAGAATTCTTTTATATAAATTTTATAAAATAATTAAAAATTTAAAAAGTTAAATAAAGTTTATTTATTATATATTAAATAAATATTATGTAAAAGGTAAAAATTTAAATATTTAAAAATTAAATTTTTCTTTTAAATACATTAATTTATTATTAAAGATTTATTTACTTTTATATAATATATAAAATATATATTAAAAAGCTTTATAAAAAAGTTAATAACCTAACTATATATAAATAAGTTTAAAAGTATATATTAAATGGTTATTAACTTTATATTTAAAGTATAAATTAATAATTAATTTAAAAGTTAAAAAGATAATAAATAAATAAATAATTAAATAAAAAATATAATATAGTTAAAGCCTCTACTATTATTAATACTATATTTCTTTAAACATTAAATCTTAAATTATTTACTACTATATAAAGGCGCTATATATATTTTATATATATAGAGATTAAAAACGAAACCACTTGGACGTTATGATACTCGTTCCTCTTACAGTACCAGACCAAAATGCGAAAGTTGCGAAGAACGCCGACCACTTACCCATGGCGATGGACCTGACTCCGAATCCGGCTTGGACTCGGCTACCTACAACGATGTCGACTGCGACGCCCAAGGACGAAGCAAGTCTGGTCTTGACCAACACTTATGGTGTAGCATTGTCCTCGCTATCAGTGCATTTTACTTGGCCCTCCTAGCCGGGGATCCTGATCCTTGCTTTCCGCGGAATCTTTTGTCCGATGTGCCGGATATTTGACTATTCCGGTTAGCCTTATCTATACATCGCAAGGCTAAGGCCACAAGCACCTATCATATTATAACTATTAATATCAGCATCATACTCTTTCCAAACGCTAGGTCTTAAATGCTTACCACCGTATAAAGGCGCCATATGTATCCTCAGACGTATACAGAATAGGAGCGAAACCACATTCCAATTACCAGTGCGCTCCAAACGGTGCCATGCCCGAAGTTGCCCGCTCAAGAGGATGTGAATGGGACGACCTGTCTTTCCACTGGTTGCACTCAGCAACTCATCGCCGCGATCGTGGAGAGCCCACCGCCCAATTTCAATGACTTGACTGTACACGGCACCCCATGGCCAGATCACCCAGCGGTCATAAGTTCATGCCGGATTGAGCTGGGCTACACAAATGCTGACTACTGTACGAACTTAGATCAAGCCATTTTATCCTTGTAAAGAAGAAGGGTTGAGCTGTGAGTCATGGTGAAGTGGCAAATGAGGCCTTTGCAGTAGAAGTAGCCGGTTGATACGTAGGTATGCTTATCATCGTGGGCAGACCCAGTTGGTAGAAAGCCAGGCCCTGGACAGGAATGATTGCCTAGGTACAAGTTCAGAGCAATAAGATGTTGATCATTCAACTAAATGGCATGGCGCATCAAAATGTCAAACTCGATCTCGGTACACACGCATTGATGTCAGTCGTATCATGTGCTCAGTACCTAGGTATGGACCAGCCCCAAGAACTAGATCAACAAGGACTTCCGACGCAGAGTTTGGGGCTGGATGAACCTCAGCAGTCATTAGCACGGCGAGCCGGACATTTTTAAGCAATCATAATAGCGAAATGTAAAAGTTCTATTTTTAACAATATACAGCTTGTAGCTAACTGGCCGCCGCCGTCCTTCAGCCTCGCCCAAATAGGCAAAGAAGAGCCAAGGCTATCCATCTGTCACATTGCTGGCCCCAGTCATCACCAGACATAAAGTTGTCTTATCTATAGTAGAGGCGAGGTCTGGTGGATCAAGACACTGGGATGATTACCATGGTACTATATAGTTAAACACGTGTTCACACAGACCCTGGGTAGAGACTGGTCACTGTGGATTCCTTTTGTTGCACTAGCCACTTGCACATGGGCGCGCGCGCCCCGCGCGCGTGCACATACACAAAAACACACATTCTGTTCCTCTGCATCTCTCTCTGTGTGTGTGTGTGTGTCTATGTGTTTGTGTCTGTGTACAATGTGTGGTTTCGCTTCTATTCCGTATACGGAGTACGTCCGACGACATACATGGCGCCTTCATACGGTGGTCTGTGTACAATACAATGACTACTAGTAGGGGTCCATCTCTACCGAAAGCCTAATTCTCCGCACTGCAAACCATACTTGACTCGCTCCAGCTATAACCCAGACAGCATACATGCTCTTGGTAGTGTTTCAATTGACCCACTCGATCCTGGTACTATTCACCGCTCCCTGATATTGGACCTCAGCTGTGCTTCTTTTTCCCAAAACGAATGCGAAGAACTTCCATTCAATTACCTGTACGAGGAAGTCGGTTGCGAGTCGCCTGGAGCTTGACAGACTCATCTCTTTCGGGCTAGAACCATATGCACTTGCCACTCTTAACTTTATCATCGCGTCACCCACAGCATCTAGAATCCCCTTCCACTTCTTACTCTCCCATGTCTCTACGGTGAAACCAAAGCGGAGCGACTCAAGATTTTCCTTCAGCCACTGCACCGTTGTGCTCAGCTGCCAGTCGCCACAGTCGGGGTCCTCAGTGCGCTGGAAATTCCCGAGTTGGGCCACCGGGGTGGCATGCCAGTGACTGCCTCTTCTTCGGGGTGTTGTTCCCAAGCCCAGCCCTTGCCGCAGTTGAGGTACCCTAGGGTAGTATCGGCGCACGTCCTGCCAAGTCTCGTCTCGCAAGGGCACGCAGTCCATGTTCAGCTGCTTGCTCCCGCGCTGCCAAGCCTGGCTCATCCATTCCATCTTCATAAAGCCCTGCACGTGGTTGGCGATCAACCTCTGGAAAGCGTGGCTGGCAGCGTCATTGTTGGTGATGGACGGGAATGGCCAGTAGAGCACGGCGGCAAACGTCCCGCCTGGGCGCAGGCCGCCAGCAATATTCTTCATTGTTGGCTCCAGTTCCGTCCAGTGGATGGACTCGCAGGCCATCACAAAGTCAACCTGGTCGAGGCCATCCCATGGATCTTCTCCACAACGAGTTCAGTACACAAATTTTGTGGTTTCGCTTCTATTCCGTATACGTCCGAGAACATACATGGCGCCTTCATACGGTGGTACCTAGGTAAGCACTCCAGACCCAGCGCTTGGAAAGAATATGATGCCGATAACGATACTAGTAGTTATGATACAATAGTTATAATACAATAGTTATAATACAATAGTTATAATACAATAGTTATAATACAACAGTTATAATATGATAGTTATAATATGATAGTTATAATACGATTTTGTGCCTGTGAAGCGTCCAGTGAACCGACTCTTCGCGTCCTCGATGTTGGTGTCACGTGGATCGGTCAGGACAACGCGCTCGACTCGGGGACCGGCGTGGAGTAGGAGGCTTTCCGCGGCATTTTCCGCTTCCAGTTCCAATGTCGTACGCGGACAAGAGCGGCCCCTCATGGTAGGCCAGCCATTGCAGCCACATGGACTCCGGATAGGACGGTCTGTGGTTGATATGATGACTCCAATCCTGATCAGAGGCGGCCGTTTCTGTCTTGTTCTTGACAGACATATCCTCGCTGGGATAAACTTGATTGTTTGAGATTGATGACATTGTGGAAATCGCCGTTTCGGAATTCTCTTTGGCCAATTGCCTTTGAGTGGTGTGAGGCGAGCCATGGTCCACTTACCCAGTTCCCGCCGACCGCTCACCTAGTACCAATTTTTTTAAGCAACTCCCTTACATTCATAAGTATTTTTCAAGTCCGGATTAAGGACTTTATATACTACTTTCTTCTCTAAATTTTCGATACTTTAGGTATAAGCCCCTTTTGGACCCCTTTTGGCACGCCTTCTGGCACTCCTCTGGCACTTTTGGCACCCTTTTAGTACCCTTCTGGCCTATATGCATTTAGGTACCAACTGAGCATTTAGAGGCTAATTGAACGCTAGAGGGCTAGAAGGCTAAAGGGCTGGAAGGCTAGAAGGGGTGCTAGAAGGGATGCCAGAAGGGGTCTAGAAGGGGCTTGTACCTAAAGTATCGAAAATTTGGAGAATGCTGGTTAGGTACATAGTTGTGTATGGGCCCTGTATGTAAAACCTTGTACTGGGTGAGCGGTTGAAAAAAACTGGGTGAGTGGATATAATTGCTGTGTGAGTGGACCATGGCTCGTGTGAGGCTGGTCAGCTAGAGATTGCCCCGGCCGCAGACTTTCTTATCAATGCGAGAGGACAAGCTTGGAAGTCCGAGGCTGCTTAAACTCTACACTAACAAACTCGAAGAGCCCAAGATAGCACATGCGGAAAGTCGGTCCGTACTCAGGCACAAGCATAGGTTTCAGGAATTAGGACTCCAAGTCGACCTCGGTGATCTAAGGTTCAAGGCCTGCCACTGAATCGCCCAGTGGGTCTTTCTGCCGAGCCCCTCAGCTGCTATGCTTGGCGAATAGTATGCAAATCGAAAGATACCTGTGTACTGAATCGAAAGTCTTCATTCATTGGAATAGCTTGCAATTGATTTTGAATAGACATCATCAATTGCAAATCTCTTTGTTCAAGGCTTTCTTGCCTGCATCAAATCTTTGCCAGGTCTTGCGGCGTGTTTGGCCGCGTGCACTTCGTTGCCTACCTAGGTATCTATCTATGGACACATAGAAGGCATAGGTTTAACTTCCGCCAGGATACCAAAGCCCCTGTCCAGCAGTATATACTGCTTGGTAATAAGGTGACAGCGGCATCCCAAACACTGTGTGACGTATCCCCTGGCTACATACTAAGCTGAAAATGGCGGCTTGATTCGGGTCGGTCATAAAACGGTATAAATAATGTTCGTACGCACGTATCCGGGAAACCTCCGACAGCAACAGTAACTAAGTCGTGAAACTCCTGCTAATATTTTTGTTCCAAGTCTCTGCCAGCCGTCAAAGTCATTCTTAACCCTAATCAATCATGTCGTCGGCCAGTCCAGATGAAGGTTCGGAACCACGCGCTCTGCGGATCACACGCCGGAGAGGGGCCTGCCAGGCATGCCGGTCCAGAAAGGTTCGATGTATGAAACCTTCCAACAAGCATCGCGTGTGCATTATCAGCGAACCAAAAACTTACACTTACAACTAATCAAGGTGACGGAGGAAAGCCATGCATCAATTGCCAGGTCGGTTTGAAGATTGAGTTCCCCGAGCTACCTGCATTGCAACCAAGACAGCCAGCTAACTGGTCGAATCAGCGGATGGAGTGCTCATGCTTTTACCCGGAACTTCAGCCCCGACGGCGTAGGGCCACGATGAATGGACAGGTGTCAATGGCGGGCCAACCTCTATCATGCATCCAGGTCGCGCCTAATGGTAGCTGGCCCTCATATGAGGATGAGTTGCTCGCGATATCCCCATTGGACTTTGCTCTGACGAATTTCGACGACACTGTTCCTGGCTGTGAAATCACCCCCGACCAGGATTACGGCACATTCAACTTCAGAAATTCCAACACTGCCACATCATCAACTCCATGTTCGGGGCCAGAAAATGGCGAAAAGGTTGAAACACCACGGCTGAACACTCCAAAATCTCTGGCCACCTTTCATATTACGACCGATAGTACCCAGGAGTCGCCTGGGCTCAGACCGCCTTCTAATTGGAGCGAAGACAGCATTGGATCTGAGGCCTTCTCAGCAGGGCTTGTCAACCTCGACGACGTGAGTGAATGCCACAAGTTTCCTAGCACTGTTTCTATTTCTCACATTTCCGCAAACCGGATTCCATGGGCGCTGACATTTGGACAAAACAGATTTTAGATTTTGGGGAGGACAGTCATACATACCAGGAGCCAAACGTGATCTCTGGAGACGATGGACATGTGACGGGAACGCGTGAGATTGTGTACTCCGCAGCTTCATATTTTGGCCTAAAAGATTTCCTCGTTCAGAATGCTCCAAAGTCAAAATCCTCTCGGATCACAGCGTTCATGACGGAGCTAGAACAACTGTTTGGTCCATCCAACGTGTTACCAGCAGACAGATACTCCGAGCGACCTCGACTGGACGATGCCTACAAACAGAAGTGGTGCAATGGTAGGTGGGTAGTTATATCTCTCCCAAGCCATTTCGACTAATTTATTCGTTTAGCGCTCTTTCAAGATCCGCACTGTCCGTGAGTCTCACTTGAAGAAAGGATTGAACGAAGTCATCTTCCAGATTTGTGGACGCAAATTCTGATGCTTAATAGTGTCGCGAGATTTCTCACTCGGCCATACGTGGATGATGTTTTGGAGAGGCCGAGACAACTAGGAGCGGATCCTTTAATATCGGCCTTCTCTGACGCTATATGGGCGCTGGGACGATACGCAGCGTCACTGAGTGAATCAGGCCGGGCTGCACGTAAACAGAGACTTGAAGCTCAGCGAAGCCTGATTATGGTGTTGGAGTTCAAAGGATCTGTGCAAAGTTCTTCAAGCAATTTGCTGAAGCTCCAGGTGAGTGTGACAACCATCTGTTACATATAAATTTTGCACGCGGAAATCGTACTTACACAGAGCAGTCCTTAATACTTCTAGTACGCATTGAGTCCGCATTGAGCAGATGAACACGTCAATTCGACTGGTCTAGAAAGCTAACTCTCTGAAAGGGAATCATTGCGTGTATGGTCGATGAAACATGCGCAGGAGAGTGCATCGCTGCGGCAGTGTTTTGCGCCAGAGGACTCAGCATCCTCGAAGGCAGGAGAGCACAACAGAGGGCCAGTGGCAACCCCGAGCAACGACTACTAGGGAAAGCTGTGTTATTCCTGTTCACATTCGAAGGAGATCACTCGATCGAGCATGGAATGCCGCCAGTGAGTGACGAGCCGAGCCAACAGCCGTGAGAAGTTTGGGAGACGCCGGCTAACAATGGAAACTGACAGATATTGAGTAAACAATGGTTAACCCAGTGCTACCATCCCAAGGAAGAACCAGGAACACATTCAAGCAGAGTTTCGCGAACAGAACTTATGAGCGCTGTTTTATACAGCCAATACTCCCCTGAAGCGCTCGTAGGTGATTTCCGACACTCTGCAAAGGACCACCTCAGCCGTGTAGAGGAGAGCATGCGGCAGTTGAACTGCTGGTCAACCAGGAACCACATTTGTTGCGGCGAGACAGACATCAGCAGACGAATTCGGAACAGCAAAGACCCGGACGACCAACAAAGGGCGGTACATGAATTCTTCTCGTACCATTTATCTGTCTTCTTCATTCATTGCCCATGGCTCCCATTATTTTCGAGCCACAAAGCAACACTCGCGACTGATGGCCCCACACTGCAGCTTAAACAACGCAGTATTGAAGCCTCTCTCCAGTCAGCTTTCAGCGTAATTGAGTTAGCGAATGATCTTCTGAGTTACGATTGCAATATAGTCCGGTGAGGCCTCTGAATCTTTCTTCCTGTTTCTTTATCCCCTAGATGCACTGACAAATTCAAATCTGGGATACAGTGACTCTCTGAAACTTTTCGACAACTCAGGTCTCATCCGAAATACTCTTCTAACGAGCATTTACTGTATCCTCACATCTTTCATTCTACAGGATGAAAAGAATCGGACGAGATCCTTGCCATACTTGGCTGTGTTTGCTGGACTTTTGGGGAGGCTGAGCTTAGAGAACGAGAGTTCTGAGAATTTGATTCTGCGTTATTTTGACCTAATGGGGATTGAATTTTGGGCTTAGGATCTTGATTTTAAATCATCATGTACCGTCACACACAAAGTCATCACCATTTTTGGCGCAAGTTGGGAAGGGATGAGATGGACGAAGCACCATTCGGTGCAATGCCAGCATCTACGCCAGCCTGAATCTCTGGGTAATTGGTTTTGCTTCTATTCCGCATACGTCCGGGGACATTCGTAGCGCCTTCATACGGTGGCCGGCGCTCAAGACCGAATGTCTGGGTAAATTCTGAGCTTCGTGTGACACCCGGTGTTCATCTATCGCTGATTGAAAGCAATATAATACCCAAGACTGGCGCGATCCCTATATTTACATCACCATCCAGCCTCCTTTCTGATTCGCCTAACCATCATCTTCGTGGAGGGGTTTGCCAGCATAGAAAAGCCGAACTTAAAAGGCTCAACGACAGTGCCGTCAGATGGCTTGAATTCATACTTCATGAGCAGATGTGTCACCACCAGCTTGACAGTATTAGCTCCAAAGAATCGCCCTGGGCATGAGTGTGACCCCAACCCGAAACTGTCTCAGTCAGTCAACAACGTGCAACGATCTACTGACTGACAGGTGCGACTTGACATACCCAAAATGGTCTTCAGACGTACTGATCAGCTGTGCCGCCGCCTCCTCCCTGTCGGCGGCACTACCGGTTGCACTATCTCGTATCCGTAGGAATCTGTATATGTCATACTTGAGAGGGTCCGGGTATACCTCTTCGGCCCACATTCGTTCTGCTGAGACCGCGATGCCCGACTCCCTGGGAAGTACCACCCCAGTGCTTAGCTTCACGTTGTCCATCACGCGGCGTCCAAGTCCAACTGAGCTCTGCCGTCAGTGAAACTTCGTCCAACATACGGGCAAGCTTTATGAATTGTATGCTATAGGTGAACAAAAGTTACTTACAGACCGCAACAGGCTTGATGCGCAGTGTCTCCTTCAGTGCACTGTCCAGGAGCTTTAGGTTGTGCAGCGTTGTTGGATTCAAGTCACCGTCTCCCAAGACTTGACGAATCTCCCGCTTCAGTGGCTCTATCGCTTCAGGGTTTCTGGATAGGTCCACCATGGCCTGCGAGACAAGATCTGTGCTGGTAAGTATCGCCCCGATGGAGAGCCCAATCTGCTGGGTAGCAGCATCGTATTGTATACCGCGCTTCGTGGCCAGATCTTCATACCACTGCAGAGAGTCATTGAACTCCGAGTCCGCGGATCTGCTTGCCTTTTGGTCTCTTCGCTTCTGTAGAATAGGTGTTACTGTCTGGCGGGCTTCGTTGACCATTCGACGGAGATCTTGGCAGTCCCGCAGAAACCAGTGAACGATCTTATGCATGAATCTTGGGTACTGACGGAGAACACGAGCTGTACCAGTAGCTTTCGCAGTGTACGAGACGGTTACGTCGAGCCACTTGGGGTTTCGGCATAGCTCCGGCCCCAGGAAGATGAGACTAGAGACCTGTGATGTAATACGAAGTATTGTCATGTTCAGATCAATCTCATGCCATTCCTCATTGTCAGTCGAAATTTCCTCCAGGGCTTCCGCAGCCTCTCTTGACAGGTCGGCCGCCATTTTGGCCATCGAGCTCTGGGTGAGATTCAGCTTGATCACGTCGTGTAGTAAGTCGCTGCCAAGAGCGATGTACGGTTCGAATCCAGGAATTCCAGCTTGCCAGTACTAAGCTGAATTGTAAGTGAGACAACATTTCCAGGGAAGAAACACAAGTGGGCAGAACACGGCACGTGGTCATACCTGGAGCAAGAATTTGGAAGCATCAAAACGATTGTCGTTCTTGATCTCCGAAGCATATTTTGGTGGGAGGATGAGTACACTGCCCATTCCTGTGTACACAGAAAATGGATTGTCGCCATAGATCTCCCTTCCACGTTGTACCATTCCCCTGCCATTGGCAAAGTACTCTTCCTTGGTTTTATTGACCACAGGGTACAATCGTTCCATCTTAGGCTTTCGGTCACGATATAATACCGCAACTGCGGATGCGAGGAATATTATGGCCAAAGATAGGCTGTATATGCGTTGCCAGCTACAGCACCGAGAGGATTGGGAAGCTGGATATTCACTAGCGACTCCTTCGTTGTGTTCATGATTGCAACAGGGCTTGCAAGTGCTTCCATGGTGGGATACTATATGAGTGGTAATAGGACGGTGTGAAATGCTCAAAAGTAGAGATGGGTCACGTGTTAATGTGAAGTTGAGTTTCACTACCTGTGATGACAAGTTTCTCGTTCAATAGTTGGTTTCTTTATTTCTCTGCCTAGATTGCAACCTATAATATTAATCGTAATGACTCCGGCGCAAAGACCGTATCATATCTCCATCCTAGCTTCTAACACGGCACAGTCAGGCGGCACAGGGGAAATTGTGCGTAAAATGTGAACTAGATTAAGTTGATTCCCTAGTTCAACGAGATACGGAGCCAGAAAAGCCATCAGCCCCATTGGACAGGTTCCAGAAGCCACAACAGAAGTGCCTAGGTAGCAGAGAGACCTGGCGTAGCGACTTCGATAGCCAGCCAAATTCCAGCATCTTGGGGATTCTTCTTTTTGACTGGAGTCTGCTGGTACAAAGGGAGAACAATGGCTAGGCCAGAAAAGGCTTTGTCTGACTGACAGGAGAGAGCTTCCCGTACAACACAATCCATTGTAAATTGGACAATGAAACACGCTGAGGTAAACAAAGATGGGGAGAGACCTGTGTCTATCCAAAATACTTAAAACCACCTACACATCCGTCAAAAACATTCTTCTTGCTCCCTGTTCCGTCACTTCCAAAACCACCCACACCGAACAGCTCGTCACTCGAGAAGGTTCTACCAGTATCCCCACAGGTACAATTACCTTCTCACCAGACAAGCCCTCGGTCCAACCACCCAGCCACCGCCCCAACCCGAACCCAACAAAACATGCCCGCTCGCCGCACGACTAAGCCGGACCCGGTCCCCCTCGATAGCCCATATAAGGTAGGCGTCGAGCTGGTAGACGTAAGCTCGACCGACGAAAGCCCAGCCACAGGAGGCAGCGAGAGCATTAATACTCGGCCCAGGGCCAACAGAAACACCCCCAGCCAGCCCCCGCGGAGCATATGCTTCATGGTTGAGAACTGCAAGTGGTGTCGCCCCGCGGCGCAGCTCGCCAGTGTGCCCGAGGAGCAGGTTGAAGAGGAAGGTGAGGAAGAGAGCCCGGCCGTCAATGCGTTGCGCGAGTGCCTCGAGACCATGGAGCGTGACCGCCTCAGACAGGCGGGGGCCAGGGGGGCTGCCGGTGGGTGTCCTGGTCTTGTGCGGCGGTGCTTGGATATGTGCGGCAAGGCCAGTTCTGTCTGAATCCTTTTCTAGGCTTTTCTTTTTGCTGGTTCGTTAGAGTAGAGTTGCATGACATTTATTAATAACAGGTTTTGGTTGCTTTGCTCGAACGTCTAACCAGCGTCGTGGGCCTGTATCCCACGCGCATTAACCTCCTGGTCGTACATTTTGTGACATGTTTCGGTGCGAAGGTATGTGGGAGTTGAATTTGTGCTCATGTGTGTTTTTGGACGGCCCAAGAATTCCCTCGATGGACTAGCAGACCACATGAATAATTAATTCCCCCCATACACTACATACCACAGAGCAGATATGCTGTCATTGATTATAAAAGTTATGAACAAGGCTGGGGCCACCTCCCTTGCAACTCAGAAGTCTCTTCATGTACAAGATTATGCTCACTGGAATAACACCATCGTCTGAACTCCCCTGTGCCACAATCGGATACATGTACCATGGCACGGTCCATGTCATCCACAAGAGAATCCAGAGAGCTCCAATGCAGCGACTGATGCCTCCGGATATTTGTAAACGTTCCTGAAGTGGTGCCCATGCCAGTGTAAATAGATCCTCCATCATGATCCCTACCGGTTGTATCAAGAAGAATGCGAGTGCTCCAGACTTTACAGCAGGAATACCTACACGTGTATCGGTCAGAACCTTACCAAGACAGATTTGGAAGCTGCTTCCAGTGGGATTATCAGAGTGGCTTACCGGCAGAAACATCGAGTGCGACGTGGAAAACTCCCGAGAAAAAGAAGACCAACCAGGCACCGAGACACCTTACGGCATAGCTGCGCTTCCAAGATGCAGGGACACGCAGAATTTCATAAAGCACAAAATTCACAACGGAAAGCAGTCTGTGGGTGTTCATCTGATGCCAGAACGAGCTAAAGTGTCTCGTCAGTCAGTTGGGTCGGGTCAGCACGGTTGTGTCACGGCACCTGGGCGACGTACCTCCAGAACTTCCTCAGGCAGTAAGCTTCCGATAAAGAACCGTTGAACGGAGGCCACTGTTCCGGCTCATTGAATCCAAGCCCAACACAAGTAAGGGCCAAAATGCAGTACACGCCGCGTTGAACAGAGACGAGGCTCACGCAAAGACCAAGGGCTGCAAAGAGTCGCATGGACAATTCCTCCAGCGTCACCGAGTCGAGTCGGGAAAACAAGGCCGTTTTCTCATCCGAGAAGAACCTCGCGGCGAGCTGAGGATCTTGCGACAAGAACATGCCGTCCAGGATTAAGTAACATATTGCGACCGTCACGCCGGTGTGTATCAGAAAGGCTGATCGGTCATGTCGCAGATTCTCTTGCAGTTTGGGAAGGTTTCGGACCTGGTACGGTGTGCCGACGAAGCGCCATGAGCAAAAGACACAGAGACCAAACTTGAGCCTCGCAAGGATAGAGTCGTCGTCGACTTTGTGTGTTGTCGCAGAGTCGCTCGTCGAATCCTTTTCGTCTATCAGGCGAGCTTTTTCGGGTCGTACGATAGGCCCCTTGGCAAAGTCCCTCACAGGGCCTTGCAGCTCAAAATCCCATCCGTTCAGAACGCCAACGTCCACATAGTGCAACAGAAACGAGAGGGTATAACCTCCTACCGATTGCGCCCAAGAGCTGCGGTGGATATAGGCCGGACATCTTGCAACGCAGTGCCACGTCAGCAAGCTCAAAACAACAAGACAGCCGCTGCGCTGGGAAATTGACGCTTTTGAGAATCCAAGGCTGACGATTGACAGAAGGACGACAGCCGCGGAGTCAAAGAGGGGATGATACGGCATGGTGCCTATGTAGAATGTGTGTTGTGGTGGAAAGGGAATGCAGCATAAAGAACGTGTGAAAGCCTCCTTCGGTTCGAAAAGTATTTGTAGGATTTGAAGGAATCAGGAAATAACAGCCAATATGTGGATCAAGGTCGATTTGACTTCGTCCCTGTAAGACGAAGCCACACATTTGCAATTAGTGACCCTGTCTACTGCTGTCTAGGAAAAACGAAGTTGCGCCCCCCCCCGGTTAAATACCCCCTGTTCCTCAGTTAAACCAAAACTTCACTAATAGAGCAAAAAATCCAACATTCTCACTAAAACACCCCTATTAACCTCATTAATACTAACAATAAATCATCTTCATTACCCAATTAAATAAAAATAATATTATACTAATCTTATATAATTAATTTAAACTTAACCTATAAAGGTATATATAACCTACTTACCCTAATATAAGGTAATATTAACCTAACTAATATTATAAATAATATACTTTAACTAACTTATTAAACCTAAACTATTTAATATTTATTATATAAAATTTATTTAAAAGTTAAATTATATAGTTTATTAATAAAAATACTATACTATTTAAATAATTATATACTTAAAAGCTAACTATTAAGGTAATTAAAGTCTAATAAATTACTTAAAAGTATTTATAAATACCCTTAAAGACTATTTAAAATAAGATTATTATAATAAATTAAGTAATTTAGAGGTATAAAAATACTATTAAAGTTAATAATAAAAAAATATACCTAATAATAAAAAAAAAAGCTTTAAAAGGTATTAATAATAAAAACCCTTTTATTAATAAAGTAAAGTCCTTAATAAATAATAATAATAATAATATTAAATACTTTAAAATTATTTAATTAACTCTTTAATATAAATATATTTAAGTAGATTAACCTTAACTTTATTTATTAAAATTTATAGCCTAAAAGTTAATATTACTCCTATTATATAACTTAAAAATAAACTATTATATTAAAGAAGGAGGATAAAGATTAAAAATTTAAAACTTTTATTAAATTATATTAACTTATTTAAAGATTTAATTAAAAAAGTATAAAAATTATTTAAATATAATTATTAAACTAAAGGATATTTTTATTAAAATTAATTAGTTTATAAGTTAAAAATCTTTAACTTTATAATTAAAAACTATAAAAAAGATATTAATAAAAGATTAAAATACTTAACTATAATAATATTATAAATATATTTTTAAATCTTAAAGACCCTTTTTCTTTAATTCTTATATAACTATAAAGTTATATTATTAATATAAAAGTTATAAATATTTATATTATAAGGTAATTACTTAATTAAATATCTATTAATTAAGATCTTTTAATTATTATTAACTATTTAGTAAATAATTATCTTAAAGGATAATTTATTAATAATTAAATAAATAATAAACTTAAATATACCTAATAGAAATTTAAATTTTAAAACTCTTTAATTTATATTAATAATTATTAAATAAAAGTTAAAATAAAGATAGAAATAAACTTTATATAAAAAAGTATAAATAATTAATAAAAATATAGTTATATTTTTAAATAAATATTATAAAGCTAATTATTACTATTAAAATAAAGGGATTTTTATAATAATAGTATTTTATTAAATAAAATAATATATATATTAATTTATTTAATAAAAACTTAAAAACTAGTTTAATATAATTATAATAAATAATATTATAATTAAGTACTTATTAAAAGTCCTTTTAATTATTAAATAGTTTAAATAGAGTCTAATAAGGAGAAGCTTAATAGTAATAAGGTTAACCTTATTTCTTTTAAAAAATAATAAAAATAAAAATAAAAAAGTAATATTAATATAATTATTAATTTATTATTTAATATTAATTTACTTAAAGTTAAATATAATTAAATAGCCTTAATAAGGCTATTATTACTATTATTATTATTAGCTTCTTTTATAAGTTTAATAGAGTTTTAACCTATTACTATTAATAGTAATAATAATAGTAATACCTATAAGCCTACTATAAAGGTAGAAACTACTAATTATTCTTTTATTATTATTATTATAAATAAAAAAATAAAATAGTTTTATATTAAAAGTTTATTATAAAAATACTTTAAAAATATTTTAGAAATCTATTAGAAAGAGCTTAACTTAAGTAATTTATAAAAGTTATAAAGTATAAAGTTTAACCTTTATAGACTTTATAAAAGAAGAATATTTAATTTAATAAATATAATTTAAAAACTATTTTATTAATTAAAATATTAATTAAATTATATTTAAAAGAAAAAAAAACTTTATTAATTTTTAATAATAATAATAATAAAAAGACTTATTATTATAATAAAAGCTATTAAATAACTATTTAATAAACTATTAAATAGATATTAAAAGTATATATTTTATAAAACCTATAAAGGTTATCTAATTAATTAATTAGTTTTATTTAATATTAAACTTTATAATTAAATTAATTATTTAATAAAAGAATTAAAAGTTTATTAAAATAATCCTTTTTATTTAATAAAATAAAAGATTATATAATAAGTTTTAAAAACTTTTAAATAAAAAAGTAATAATTAAATATATAAAAGATATAATTAATAATAAAAGTAGTTAAAAAAGAAAAGTTAATTATTTTAAGTAAATAAAATAAATTAAATATTTAATATTAAATAATTAATTAATTAAATAAATTTATTTATAATTAAGTTATTTATTTTAACTTTAATTATTAATTTAATTATTTAACTTATAAATAATATTTTTATTTATATAACTATATTTAATTAAAACTTTATTAATTTTAATCCTTATAACTTTTAATTAATACTATTATATTTACTTTATTTTATACTTTTTTAATATTTATATATAATAAAAATATCTTTAAATAACTTTAACCCTAAACTTAATTTTTAAATATAAAAATAAAAATTAAATAAAATCTTTATTTAAATTATAATTTAATAATTTATATTAATACTAATAATATAAATAATACTTTAAGTTATTAAAATATACTTTAATAAAATTAAAATTAAAAGTATAAAAATAAATATTTATACTTTATACTTTTATATCTATTACCTTAATTATCTCTATACTATAATACTATAAAGTATTATTTATTATAAAATTAACTTTAAATTTAAATATAAATTTATTTTTAATAAAATACTTTTATTAATTATTATAAAAATATTTTTATTATATAACCTTTATATATTATAATAATAAATAAACTATTAAATATAATTATAAAAAAATATAAAAATAAATTTTTACTTAAAAACTTTTAATTTATAAAATATACTTAATAAATACTTAATTAATTCTCTTTATACTATCTTATTTATTAAAATTAAACTTATTAATAAAAATAAATATTTTATTATATAATCTAACTAATATATTTATTAAAGATAATAATTATAAAACTCCTTATTATATTAATAAATTAATATATATATTTATTTATTATTCTATTTATAAACTTTAAAAGTATTATTTATTATTTTATAATAATATTAATTTAAAACTATTTAATAAAAAAATACTATATTTTATTAAAATATAAATCTAATTTATTAAATAAAAATTTTTAACTTTTAATTTATATAACCTATATATTAATTAAACTTTATAAACTTATTATAAAAAAGTAAACTAATAAACCTTTAAAACCTATTACTTTAACTTAACTATATTTAATAATAATAATAATAATATATTTAAAATAACTATATAAATAATAATAACCCTCTAATAATAACTTTAAATTATCCTATAATAGTATTAAAACTTAATTTATAACTATTTATTAAATAATAATAAATTAAAATATAAATAAAACTTTAATTATTAAAATTTAAGTAATAATAAATAATAACTAATTATTATTAAAACCTCTCTTTTACTAATTAAGAAATATTAACAGGCTAATAAAGGTATCCTATTAAGAAATATTAGATTTTCTACCCTATTAGTAAAGTTTTAATTTAATTAAGGAATAGGGGGCATTTAACCGGGGGGGGGCGCAACTTCGTTTTTCCCAGATAGTAGTGGATACCAACCCGAATTTCTCCACAGGATTGGCTGATTGATAGTATCCACCCAATCCTTCGACACGTTCGTCCAGCCTCACCACAGCATTCTTTCCTGTTGGTACACGGTAGTATTCTAACTGGGTCTTCAATGAGGCGCACAAGGGCTAGGCTCTATCAACGACAATCACTACCGCGTGATATCTAGTCATGTTTCAAGGTTATCCACCCGATCCTTCCAGTCAGCCGCTTACTCCTACTTGGATGTTCGCTGCCTGTTAGTAACTTATAATAGGTTAAAGCTTATAATAATAGGCCGAATCTAACTGCTTTAGCAATCATGGCCCCATACAGTCCCTGGCTATGTCTCCACACAGTCGAGCTTCCTGCATCCTGCGAGAACTTCCAAGACGTGAAAAGACGGCAGCATATATCCCTATAGACCTGCAGGCGTAGAATGAACTGACAATTTTTCCCAATTATGACTATTGGACCGCGCGAGTGCCACCGTCGGGGAATCATTTTGCAAATAACTTCCGTTATTCATGTCTTCCAAGTCATCCTATCCCACGCTGGCAGCAGCCAGCGTCCCGCAACCAGCACTGTTGGTGCGTATATCATCCTGCAAACTGGTTTGCATGCAGTTTCGCAGCAGGGCTTTTTTGACTGACCGGTTCAAATGAAATCAAAAGGGTGTATACTGGGCCGGGACGATTATATCTCTGCTTTTCGTCCTCACCCGTCTTTTTATCCGCCACAGGGTGATCGGAAATTTCAAAGCAGATGACTATCTCGTCGTCGTCGCATGGGTGCTGTACCTGGCTGCCACAATCACGTGGACTGTCATGGGCAACAACCTCTATGTCACCTTGGACGCCGGCAAGACCGGCAATTTCCTCGGTGCTTTGAACAGCTACTTGCAGCAGTACGCGCACGCTCTTAATGCAAACTTGGGTGCATACTACTGTACTTGGACGTCATTGTACATCATCAAGTTATCTTTCATGGTGTTCTTCCATGGATTGGGGAACAACTTCCGTGCCCAGAAGTTCGTCTGGTGGGGCGTGCTCATCGTCATCGTCGCGTGCTACATCGTTTCAGTCGCAATGTTCGATTACGGTTGTTTGACAGCAGATTGGAAGCACATAATTAGTAAGCATATTTTACTGTGATCACCAGCATCTGAGTGACCTTGGCTCTTATTATCATCCTCGGCGTGTTATAGAGCAGGGCTGACACGTTTCAATCTCAGCAAAGTGCGCTAGCAAGGAGACCATGCAATACGAGTTCACCACAGCACGGGTCTCGACGGCTCTGGACGTCCTCTCGGATGCTTTGAGTGAGTTTCCACTAAATCCAATGTAATAGTTCTGCGTTTCCTGGCTCGGCTGCGAGATGTACTTGAAGACAGAAGTAAAGAAGTAATCAGCCCCTGGAGGCCGAAAGGAGCACTAAAAAATTGCTAACCATCCAAACACCCACTATAGTCGTGGTTGTCCCCAGTCATGTCGTCTGGAAGTCAATGCTGCCGCTACGCAAGAAGCTGGTGTTGGTTGCAGTCTGCTCCCTGACTCTTTTCATGATGATATGTGCCATCATACGGATTGGAGTAGGTATGAAGGACAAATTGACAGATTTGTCATGGTTTCTCACGTGGAACTCGGTGGAAATGACGCTTGGTACGTTTCCTGTCTCTCCTTCACTTTGTCCGCTACTTCCCTACTCATATGCACTTTGTATGGCCCTGTCGCTTGTTGTTGCGGATCCTGGAGTCCCATACAAACTCATGAGATCTCATCAATCGCAATCCATCTAAATTCAATTCGGACTGACAAGTTCTAGCAATCATGGTTGCCTGTATAGCCTCGTTTCGCAGTCTATACACCCAGGCAAGGACCACGCAAAAACCCTCCGGCCAAGATCTCAGTGGCGGCAGATCGGGCAAGTCATTCGGATTGACACCTTGGAAAACATCCCAGACAAAATCAGCATCCGAGACTGCTGGGACTGATACGTTGGTGGACAACGAATATTGCCACTGGGTCAACCGGTTGTCGCATGATAGCCTGGAAGCGCAAGACTGGGAGCTCAGGGAATCAGATCGCCGCGGTGCCAAGAACATCTTTGAGACATCGGGGATGCGATCTGAAAGCCCTGCCGGCATAGCTCTTTGAAATGATGTTAGTAGCATACTAGTAGTGACAAGGTGTCAGCAATAGCGTGGGCTCCGATAGATGTCCGCATACTAAAATACTTTTACTTCCCGAGGAGTCAACTTGGCAAATGAATTTGCGATGGTATTGCATTCACAGCTTCACGATCAACATCAGACTAGCCTGAGGCAGTGACCTTAGGGTTAGGCGTTACGCACTCGGCCAAACTGCGACTCCCCCCAGCACCTCCTGAAAGACAAGGATAAAGAAGTCTTGTGAATAACAGAAACCACAAAACCACTCAGAGCAGAGCAGGGTCTATGCTACCAGGCAGATAGATCAACCCACGAACACACAAAGAAACCTTCTGGGTCAAGCAAAAATCAGGATGCCGCCAAAGAGGAAGACGCCAAGCCAGGCGGACGACGAGGTGCAGCCGCGCCGGTCCACGCGTCAACGCACGTCAACAGCACCGGCACCGGCAGCCACGCCAGAGAAGAAGCTCGCCCCCGTAAAGAAATCAAATAAGACAGGGGGCAAGGTGCAGTCGGCAGGAGGATCCACGGCGGCCGGGCCCAAGACGGGTCCCAGTGGTGAGGAGGAGGAGCAGACAGACGGACAGGGCAGGCAGTATTGGCTGATGAAGGCGGAGCCCGAGACACGGTTCGAGAACGGGGTGGACGTGCGGTTCTCGATCGACGACCTGGCTGCCAGGAGCGAGCCTGAGCCGTGGGATGGTATGTTTGTGTTTTGTTGTGTTTTGTTTCCCACGGTTATATTCCCTTCCTCACTCTCCCTCACGGGCTTGGCTGGGTTGGGTTGGCCACGGGATATCTGAGATGAAGGCTGACGAGGGCACAGGAATCAGGAACTATGTTGGTATGGGCTGCTCTCTCTAAGGCAGGCAGGCCCATTTGCTAACACGCACACACAGCCCGCAACAACCTCCGCGCCATGAAGAAGGGCGACCTCGCCTTCTTCTACCACTCCAACTGCAAGGAGCCGGGCATCGTGGGGACGATGGAGATTGTGCAGGAGCACTCACCCGACCGTGCGTAGCCAGCCTCTCAACCTCGCTCTCACCCTCATCCTCAGCCCTCCTCTCCCCTTCCCCTTCCCTTCCCTTCCCTTCCCACTACGTCTACTCGGCACCCCGAGAAATCCACCACGTACCATCTAACAAGCGAAACCCCCCCAAACAGTCACCGCCCACGACCCAAAATGCCCCTACTACGACCCAAAGTCCAAGCCGGACGACCCAAAGTGGAGCGTCGTGCACGTCGAGTTCCGCTCCAAGTTCCGCGTGCCCATCGGGCTGAAGGAGTTGCGCGCCATGGGCGGTGGCGACGGCCCGCTGCGGGACATGCAGATGCTCAAGCAGTCGCGGCTGAGCGTGAGCAGGGTGAGCGCCGAGGAGTGGGGGTGCCTGGTCGGTGTGGCGGAGGCCAAGGCCAGGGACAAGGCCGAGGCGGGTGCGTGATGCGTGATGCGTGGTACGTGATGGTGGGGGCCGAAGGGGGTGGGTTTGAGTGTGTAAGTGTATGTACATGTGTTACGCCTGGGCGTGCGGCGTGCTGTATACTGCTGGTAGGGCCTGCCTGGCGGCATGGCATGTATGTGTGTCCCTGGTTTTGTGGGTGGCCTGACTCTGACTGTCCGTGTTCTGTGGCCGGCGCCCTTCGCCGATCAAGGGTTCTCGAGCTTGCGCCTCGTGTGCTCCAGCACCGTGCGGACGTTCTCGTCCAGGTCCTTCCTCTTGAGGATGGGCCTGATCCAGGCGACCGTCCTGGCCGCCAGCCCCGCCCTGTCCTCGACGACCCCCTCCTGCGCCCTGAGGCGCGCCAGAACCTCGCGCAGCGCGCGGGGGAACTCGGCCGTGGTGACGTCGACGGCGACCAGCGGCTGCCGGACGACACAGGCACACGTGGCCGGGTGGCGCGGGAAGTCGTCGGCCATGGCGTCCAGCACGTGCTGGATGATGGCGGGCTGGGCCGAGACGGCGGTGAAGCCGGCGAACACGTCGAAGAAGGCCTCGGCGGCGGCCGCGCTGTAGAAGGGCTGCTTCCTGGCGGCGTCAAAGACCGCCCTTGGGATGGCGCCCTGCAGGGCGGGGCTCTTCTCGAGCTTCGTGATGGCCTCGTCTGACAGGGCCCTCCTCGCCTCCTTGGCCGCCTGTCTGCCGTGCTCGTCGGCCAGCGGGTCGTCGGGCAGTACCTCGTTGTCCTCGAACTCGTCGTCGTCGTCGTCGTCCTCGCCGAAGCGCAGCACGTCGCCGTCGTCGACCGTCTCCTCGGCGCGCGCCTCCTCGAGGCCCTTCCTGGCGCCGCCCTTGTTCTTCCTCTTGCCCTCCATGCGGGCCAGCCACTCCATCTCGACGCGGGCGTACTCGAGCCACAGGTCGGCGGTGGCGTTGCAGAAGCGGCAGCCGCGCATGAAGAACCCCCTGGCGCCCTCCATGTCGCCGTCGCGGGCGGCCCGCCTGCCGGCGCGGGCCCACAGGGCCGGGTTGACGGGGTGCATGCGCAGGGCGCGGGTCATGACCTTGCGCCACCGCTTCGTGGCCTTTGCGCGGGCGGCGTAGTCGAGGTAGTCGGCCCACAGGTCGAGGCTGGCCGGGTGGCGCAGGACGGCGCGCTCGTAGATGGAGAAGACGCGGGCGCTGCTGGCGTGCGAGGTGGACGAGTGCTTGATGCCCTTGCGCAGGCAGCGCCTGGCGCGCAGCTTGTCGAGGGACAGCTCCCAGGCGACGTAGGACCGGAAGTGGTGGGGCTTGCAGCCGGGGCCCAGGACGAGGTGCTCGAACTCGGTGCGCTTGGAGACGAGGGTGCGGATCTCGTCCTTGGTGAAGATCTCCTTCTCCTCGAACTCCCGCAGCTGGGGCACGGCCCGCTCGAGGTGGAAGCGGGCCTTTTCGGCGACGTTGGCCATTGTTGGCGGGTGGTGGTGGTGGAGGTTGTGGTGGTAGGAGTAGTCGTGGTGGTGGTGGTGGTGGTGGTGACGGAAAGGTGGGAGGAGGATCGTGATATCTTCGTGGTGTTGAAAAGTCAAAGTCCCGTTTCTGAACTTTTTAGTGGGGCCGGGCTAAACGGGCCCAGGTGGGACCCCCAAGAAAACGGACTGGGGTGGGGGTGGGTGGTGCCTTGGGCTAAGAAGGAAGCTAACAGTCCACAGCAGAGGGGGCCCTGGTTGGAGGATCTGCAAGCTGGGCCGTCTGCTCAGTGCTGAGTGGGCGGGACGGTGACGTACCAGGCTGCCGAGGCTGGGCTGGCTGGGTCAGCCTGGGTGGGTGAGGGAGGATCGATCAGCTGTGCCTACCAACTGGGCGCGTATTGTAGCAGCGAAGCTGGTAGGGATGGATGGATGCGACGCTCACTTGCTCACTTTCTCACTTTTCCATCGCGTGCATGCATGCAGCCAATCCCTGCAACCAAGCTCTTGCTCTCGCTTGTTGACTGAGTGACCGAGTGAATTGGTGATCTGATCTGATCTGATCTGATCCGACCCGACCGTTCCTTCCAACCATCCATCCTCTTGCGCTCCCCTCCCCTTCCTTGCCCTCCATTCTTCTCGTCCCCGTCGTCGTCGTCGTTGTTCACCCCCGCCACTTTGTTCCAATTTGTTTACTCCTCCTCCTCCTCCCCCTCCAATTGCCCTTCTCCCACATGCTCTTGTGATCGAGGGCCTCCCCCCCCCCCCCACAATGGCGCGGTCTGGCTACAAAGACAAGGACGGCGGCGTGCTCTTCTCCTTCAGTGGCATCTGGATCAGCTGGTTGCATACCATTCTCGCATACAGTATGCCCCCTCTCCTCCCTCTGCTCTCCTCACCCTCACCTCGAGCTGAAGAGGGCGAGCCCTCCCCCTCTCCTCAGACTGACCTCGTCTCCCAGCTGCCTTCCTCAGCGCATTGGTCGTCGGCATCTCGCTCCACTACCACAAGATCGTCCAGAATGAGTGGTTCGGATATCCCCAGGAGTGGTTCCCCTCCGTCTCGGCCACAATAGGCGACCGCTATCCTGAGCGGTCCTTCTTCCAGCTGTTTATCGCATTAACCTCTGGTCAGTCCTCGGTCCATCCGGATCCTCCGCTGCAACTAAAAAACCAGCCAAGACCAAGGCTGCAAGACCAAGACTGACTGACTTGTTCCGGCAGGTCCGAGGTTCGCCCTCGTCGCATTCTGGTACCTCCTGTCGCGCAGGCCCGGCCACAAACTGCCCACCTTTGTCGCCTTCTGGGGCGCCTTCCGAACCCTGACCTGCGGCGGCTGGACCTATGTCACCTCCACCGACGACCATGACTGGCACGACGTCTTCATGATCTCCTACCTGCTGGCAACCATCCCCTGGACCTTTGGCTGCATCGCCCTGAGCCCCCCCAACCCCGCCGCCATCAAGTACAGGAAATACGTCTCGGGCGCCTTCTACGGGAGCATCATCCCGCTCATATACTTTTTTATCCAGCACAAGGTGCACAGGGTGCCAGGAGGTATGTTCACAGAAGAGCGAGCGCGAGAGGATGGCCTGGCCAAAAGAGGACCAGGTGGCAGAGCAAGCACTTGCTGACCTTGTGCCCACAGCTTATACCACCTACGCCTTCTTCGAGTGGTCCCTCGTTCTTCTCGATGTCGCGTTCGACGCAGTCACCGCCCTGGATTTCGACTCGTTCGAGGTGGTAGTCAGGGACATCAAAGGAGTCAGCAAGGGGTATGTCCAATGGCTTCCCAAATAGATCTTGAAAGAAAAAAAAAAGAGCAAGAAAAAAGACACAAAGAGGGAGCAAGTACCAACGACCCCGCCCTGTTACTGTACATGTCAGCGTACGTGTACACACTGCGGATTATGATACGCCTCCCGGTCACCGAGCCCGTTCTAAATGTCGTGTTTCTCTTCTAGTGCGAACCCCTCGTCCGTCTCCTCGGCCGAGCTTGAGAAGCAGAAGGAAAAGGCCGCCGCCGCCCTCTCCACCCTGCCCTTTGGCACCAGCGCCGCCCTCGACATCGTCGCCGACGTCTACCATGGCTTCGTCTTCTGGTCCATCCTCACCAGCTTGGGCGTCCTTGTCTGGTACTTCCCGCTCTGGTACATGGGCATCTCCGGCTACGAGGCTTTCGTCATGTCTACGGTCTCGCCCTTCCTGCTGGGCATAAAACCCCTGCGGACGCTGGTCGTCCAGAACCTGCGCGTCGTCCACCTGCTGTCGCTGTCCGGCCTGCTCGCGTTCCTGGTCCCCGACCCCGTCGGCCGCCTCAGCACTGTCGGCTTCGCCGTGTGGATGCAGTGTCTGGCTTGGGCCGCCACCTTTCACGCCGATTCCGTCCACGAGGGCCGCCTCGAGTCGCGCATCATGGCCTGGATGGCCGGCCTGCTCGTGTCCAGCATTGCCAAGTTCATGTGGCAGACAAACAACCCCATCTGGCCCATCATGCACGGGGCCAACGGTGGTTGGAACTACACCGCCCTGTTCCTCGCCGTCCCTGCTGCCCTCAGGTTCACCAGGCGCGGGGTCCTCAGTGGCGGCGACAGTGGCTCGAGAAAGGATGGCTCGGCCGTGCTCTCGGCCCTCAGCATCGGTGGCCTGTTGTTTGGGCTGCACTCCCTCCTTTCCGACACCAGCACCATGATCCTCTGGGTCTGGGAGGGGTATCCCATTCGAGGTCCCACCGCCAACACGTCCGCCTGGTACACCATCTGGGCAATGACTGGCGGTCTGCTTCTTGGCCTCTTCCGCCCGCAGGTCGTCAACACCTACGGCTTCTACGCCTTCGGCTGTGTTGGTGCTGCCATCTTGACATTCTCCAGCCACTGGTTTGGCTACCTCGGCGCCCTCATCACGGCCACCTTCTTGATGGCCAGCTCTCATCCTCTGATCACCAACGCGGCCAAGAAGACCCCTGCTGTCACATTCGGCCTGGGCTTCTTCGTCTACAACTTCCTGGTGCTCTTCCACGTCTGGGTCGTTGCCTATGCCTTCGTGCCCGGCGGCCCGGCGGTCCGCGAGCATACCGACTGGGTCATGCTCACCACCTTCCTGATGATCGGCGCTGGCTTCCTGGACATCAACCGCGTCAACTCGTCCAAGAAGGCCGGGAAGCGGCCTGTCAGGAATAACTCGGCCCCGAAGCCCCACCGCAGGTATCACCTCTCGGTCCTCGGCGTCTTGAACCTGCTCTTCCTGGGCACGGCCTTCCTGCGCTTCCCCACAAACGACTACAAGCCCTACCACAGCGACGCGAACCTCATCACTGCGGGCATCTGGACCATCCACTTCTCGCTCGACAATGACATGTGGAGCTCCGAGGTCCGCATGCGTGACCTGATCAAGGAGCTGGAGATCGACGTCATCGGCCTCCTCGAGAGCGACCTCCAGCGCATCATCATGGGCAACCGCGACACGACGCAGTATCTCGCCGAGGACCTCGGCATGTACGTCGACTACGGCCCGGGCCCCAACAAGCACACCTGGGGCGCCGCCCTGCTGTCCAAGTTCCCAATCGTGAACTCGACGCACCACCTCCTGCCCAGCCCCGTGGGCGAGCTCGCCCCCGCCATCCACGCCACCATCGACGCCTACGGCACGCTGGTGGACGTCTTTGTCTTCCACTCGGGCCAGGAGGAGGACCCCGAGGACCGCCGGCTGCAGACCGAGTACCTGTCCAAGCTGATGGGCTCCACGGACCGCCCCTCCATCCTGCTGTCGTACCTCGTGACAAAGCCCGGCGAGGGCAACTACAACACGTACGTGTCGGACGTCAGCGGCATGCACGACATCGACCCGACGGACTGGGACCGCTGGTGCGAGTACATCCTGTACAAGGGCCTGAAGCGGACGGGCTACGCGCGGGTCAGCCGCAGCACCATCACCGACACGGAGCTGCAGGTGGGCAAGTTTGTCGTGCCGCGCTCGGAACAGGAGAAGGAGGGGTTCCTCGCGGCCGAGGAGGACCGGAGAGACAGGCGGGTCAAGGAGGGCGAGCTGGACGAGGCCAAGAGGTTCCCGGCACTGTTTAGGGGTAAGGGCGTGCGTGGGCACCGGTATCATGTGTTTAACGAGCCGCGGTATTATGATTTCTAGATGTGGCTGGTTGGTTGGTTGGTTGGCGGATAGGGGCTGGGGGCTGGGGCAACGATGGGTATGTATGACTTAATGAGGAGGATGTGCGTGTCGTGAGATCTGGCCGATTGGTTATTCAACTAGAGCGAATGAGTGACTATCGAGGCAATGGACACGGCGCCTGATGAGCATGGTGGCCTGTAGAAATGAGCGCTCATGCTATTGCGCTCTGGTATATAGTGTTTGTTACCTTACCGTACCGCTGAGATACCTTGAAAATCATTATGTGTTATCTGGTTTCGCTTCTACCCAGCATATGTCCGAAGACATGATTACATGGCGCCTTTATATAGGGTTAAGACCCAGTGTGTTTTGTTTTTGTCTTTTTTTTTTAAAAAGAAAAAAATTACAATGCCAATAACAGTGCAGAGAGAATACAGTAGTTATGTGGTTGTTATGAGCAAAGCAGGTCATTCCCATCTCCTGTTGGGGATTTGCAAGCTACAATACCTAGGTAGGCATTGTGTTGTGCTCTAGGTCTATTATTACTCATTGCTATTCATTATATCGAGCAAGATCTACTAGTCACAACCACTATGTGAAATCTAAAGCTGATTATAGAAATTTCTCTTGTCTGGGCCAGGTCTTTCGGTTAGATAGGTAGTAGTAAGGGTCTGGTTCTCCGAGGTACAGGGTTTGTTTAGAGGACTTGATTGGATTGTTTCCATGAATTATTCTTTTCTCACGAGCAGTGAATGGTACCTAGGCAGTTGTTTGAATTGTGGTCTTTTGTGTGTATGAACTGAAGTATCAACAAGACATGACTGATCCGGGCATTCACGAACCTGCCAGCGTAACGGATCCTCACAACACGGCAGTCCACACGAGCTTCACCTGTTAAAGTTTCCGGCCTCTGATGAAGATGGGACTAGCTGACACATTCATTGATGAGACCCCTGGACTACTACTAGCAGGCTTGGTCACCTAACCTAGGCAAGGCATTTGAGGAATATATTTGGACTCGCCAATATGCTTAGAAGTGAGAGGATCGAATTCAATTTCTGGGAGGATGCCTCTTTCCTTCTATGCAGCCTCGATGGCACAAGCCTGTCGCAAGGCAGGAGGGCAGGGGAGGACTCGGAGGGCATCAATCCCCTCACGGCCGCGTCTTTAGAGAGTAACTATCCTGTAACTATATACCATGACTGGCTAACCACACTACCGAGGGTTCGGTTGATGACACAGACAGACCCTGAAGAGCTTGGGCGTAATGGCCAGAGGCAAATCGGGCGAGAGCACTCTTGCATTGATATAAGAGAAAGTCATCTTGAGCCACAAACCACGCTGATCCCAAGTTTATAGATACTGAACAAGGATCACTTGGGACATCGCGGAGAGTTCGACGAGGCGCATGGCCTACTAGTGTGGAAAGACCGTGGAACTCTTCGGGCGCGTCTACCAAAAAAGCCTGGGAGCTGGATATTCACACTTTTTAAAAAAAAGTGGAAAAAAATAAATAAAAGAAAACTATAGAGGCTACCATCTTGACGCTAGAGAGGTGGGTGGGTGGTCGCTATTCAAGATGTTAATTATTGCCGGCTGTGACGAGGCGGGGAGCCGGTGGCGATGCCCTCCAAAGTCTTGGTAGTCTGTCTGCCCCGTCATGACTGTTGACGATGGAACTGGTCGATATCGAGCCGGCAGTCCGCCAAGACAAGTCTGATGCACCGGATGATGAGCGAGACAACCTTTCGCCATTCTTTATCCACCGCCTGGCGAGAGACCCGGCCTGATTGCAGGTGGGCATAAACCTGCGGTACGGATCGCAGCTATGCTCTCTGACATTGGCCTCAGATCCGAACCAAAACTTCCCCAACGGCCGAACAAAAGAGGTCTTAAGTTGACTAATGGTCTCGTCAGATTTCTCAGTTAAGTCGCCAAAGGGAGTTAGTCACCGCCTGTCCGAAAGTGCTTGTTTACTATTCGCTTTGACATATTGAAGCAAATATAATCTACCTCTCCACCACCTCGAGCACATACGGCCATAGATACAGGAAAATACGGGATCCCGTCCGCTCTCCCTTAGTCAAGTTTGTAATCGCCGGATTAGTAGTTGGGTCGGTGACGACCAGCGAATACCCGGTGCTGTATGTTTTTGGTCCTTTCTTTTTACCTTTTCTCATGTTGCCCGCGGCTCTACTTATAGCTCCATACCTTCCTTCATCGACTTTTAGGTGATATAGGGTAGCATAATTTAGAGGACCCCTACCTCTACCGTGGAATATTTACTGTACCCTAGGATCGACTTCTTGATAATAATAATAGTGTAGGTGCTTTAGTTAAAATAGGGAACGGGCATTAGTTAGTGCCACTAATGTGGGTTGAAACGACCTTACTAGAAAAGATTTATAAAGCTAATATATTATGTTTTAATAGCTTTTAATAGAAAATTAGGAAGAGGAAAAAAGAAAAGAAAATAAATATAGGCAAAATAGAGATCGCTATAGTTGTCACACTAGGCGAGGAGGCCTAAGAAAGTAACGTGGGCGGCCTAGATTCCGACCACCCCCCGATTCCGACCGCCTTTTCCACATAAACTCCTACTTTTCTACCCCCTCTTATTAAATCTAAATAAAATCCTATAACCCTAACCCTAAATTTAAAAAAAAAAATAATATTTTAGCTTTAATATTATATATAAATATTTAAAAATTTATTTTTATACTTTAATATATTTAAAAGAATTTTTAAAGTTAAAGTATTTTAAAATATTAAAAAATATATAGAATTTTATATATTAATACTAATATTTCTTATTATAAATTTATTTAATTATAACTAATTAAAACCCTTTTAAATATAAGATTAAAAGATTTATAATTATAATTTTTTAATTAATTTTTATTTAACTATTTTATTATATTATAACTTAATTTAATTTTTAACTTTATTTAAACTTTTTAAACCTATTTAATATTTTCTTTTTTAAGTAAGTTAAATTTAAATTAAAACCTTTAAGTTTAAATTTAAAATTCTTATAAATCTTAATATACTTTAAATTAAACTTATAATCTTTTAACTTCTTTAAAAATATATTAACTATTTTAAATAATAATAACTTTTCTTTAAAATAAAAATCTACCTTTATATAATTATAAACTTAGTTATTAATAGCTATTTCTTCTTCTATTTATAAGCTATTAAAACTATAAATTTAAATATTATATATAATAATAGAGTATAGTTACTTTACCTAAAGGTTATCTCTTAGTTTAGTGGTGTAATAGGTTGAGTGACTGCTTTTAAGTGGTTTTACTTGTAACGTAGTGGAGTTAATGGATAGGTGTTTATTTATAAAGTAGAGCTAGAACCCTAGTTAGAGGAATAGTAGCTTTTATCTTCACCTATTTCAGCTAACTTATACTTAAGTTATATAATAATATTATATATAATACTTAATAGTATTAAGACTAAATAGCCTATAATCTATAATAACTTTAACCTTTAATAGGCTAATAGTTGTTAGGGCTATGGGCTGAACGCCCGTAGGACTAACTAGTGGGTCCGTGCACTCTGCTTATCTTATTAGCCTAAGTGGCCTCTATACCTTTCGCGATGCGGGATTGCAGCTTCGCTGCCTCCCCTATACTATTTCTTAGGCAACTCTAGTTTTAAATTAATAATTCTTCATAGATAATTTAAGCCTTCTTTTACTATAGGTCGCGAGGACTGTCTTAATAGTATTAACTTAAATAAATTAAATATAACTTAATATACTAATATAGAAAGGTATCTTTTAATAATAGATAGTATTATAAATAATTATAAAATTATTATAAAAAGTTTTATATAATAAACTTAATTACATTAATCTTTAAAAGATATATTATATTTTATTCTTTTAAAACTTTAATTATTTACTTTTAACTTAATAATAAAATTAAAAAAATATAAATAATCTATAACTAATTAAATAAATTAATTATAATTTTACTTTCTTTTAAAAACTTTAATTAATATTATTATTATTAAAATTTATAGGAGTTTTATTTAATAAATATTAGTAATATTTTTAATTTTTAATTTTACTTTTTTATATAAAGATTTTTAATAAAATTATAAAAATATTTATATTTTAATTAAAAAATTATTATAATTAAAAAAGTTAAAATTTATATTATTTATTATTTTAATATATAAATAAAATTTTATATAAAATATTATAATAATATATAACTAATAAAAGATAATATTAGTTTTATTATAAATACTTACTATTTTATTAGTAAATCTTAATATTTTAAAAGTTTTAAGTTTTAAAATTCTTTTAAAAATATTAAAGTAATAATTAATTTAATTTAATATCTTTATATAAAAATTAAATTAAAATAATATATAAAGAGCTTAGAGTTAGGGTTTTAAGATTTTTTTTGGATTTAATAGAGGGGGTTAAAAAGTGGGTGTCTTAATAGTATATTTGTACCAAAAAGTGGGTGGTCGGAATCAGGGTACTGTTAGAATGTGGGCTGGGGACGTTATGAGATTTAAGCACCAAGGATATAGATCAGAATTCTCCTGGCGAATACAACAATTGAAAAGCCATGTTGTTATGGACTTGCTTATATCTCCTGCTGCTCAGTTTTCGGGATGCGGTGATCAGAACTAGATGTAACACATAGAGCAGGGACAGCAAAAGGTGACGGCAACGGCAGCGGCGTACTAAACAGGGACCGTGAAGCCGAACTACTTTGTGAAAAACTTTGGATTCGGGAATGAAACAAGTTTCCATGTGGCAGGCGTCCCCGGCTTGGCCATGGCTTCTACGAAGAGTCCAGAACACAGTTGAACTTGGACTGACCCTGTGGGCGAGAACATCGGCTAGGCGCATGATGTAAATGGGGAAGAATGCGTAAGAAAGTCTGATTAATGGGCCGCTATTTCCATTGTGAATGGGATCATCACCTCTTTAGCATCATAGGGCCGGAGCTCATTTAACACTTAGTTTGCACTTTGTGCGGACATTCCGCACAGTACTCTGACGATGCAATCTGATGTCGTTCGATAGAAACCTAGACCAGAATCACAACAACCAATACGGAGTACAAGCCATTCCGCATACGGAACCCTCACAAGAGCTGTGAGCAGCGGGACAGACTGATTAGGTAAGCAGAGTGCACAGACTTCCTCCGCACTAGCTTGGTTCTGCAGGTGGTCCGGCCGCAGTGGTGAGTGAGACGGGCGCCCGCCGGGTTATCCGGATGGAGATCGATGAGAATACTAGAGTATACAGAAAACAG